TTTTATTTATTTTACATTTTTACAAGAAATCGATAACAGCAAAGTGAAAAATTAGCTATAAGAAAGTACGTGATAAATATTTCTTGTTTACGATATTCATCGTATAATTCGTAAACTTTACGAGTATACCTCTTGTCCCAAGAGTGATAGTTGTTTAAGTAATTGTTTCGCGTTAATGAACGTGGTCGAACCGTACGTGATCCGTTTATTAACTCCAGCCCCACTTTTCTGTTTTACATAGTCCACCAGATTTTGGTATTCTATATAATTCCCACCACCAATAACAAAAACGATTACATCTTGGAATGTTGGTTTATTCTTTGGCATCTGTTCTGTATGCTTCAACTGCTTTGGATCCAAGTAACAATAATCATCTGTTTGAGACGATTGCTTCGATTCCATTAGCTCATCGACTATTTTTGTAACCGGCAGATTATGTTTCTTAACGACTAAATTTTTTACTCCTTCCATGACGAAGGATGATCCTTGATTCATCAGTTTCGAAAACATACTGACGGTCTTAGTTCCGCCGCCCTCATAATTGTGTTGAATTTCCGCTATTCTAGTGTAACTTCTTAATCTTTTTATATAAACTAGAGGATTCAAATCACATCCAGCGGCGGACAACGCTGACTCAAGTTTATTGTATTCACTGTCTGACATATTCGTGCAAATGTAATATATAATAGCTAAACGTAATTTATCCTCTGGGGTACCACAATCCGGATCGCTTATAGTCTCTAGCACACTTCTATCCAGCGTTTGCCTACACATTATCTTTTCTTCCAATTCGAAGAACGTATCGAGTCTTCTGGATTTTATATAATTTAAAATACCCGTCGCGATCGACGTGTGCATATCTATCAGCCGTTTCATTTCCAACAGTTGCGGTAAATTATTTACTGCATTTGTTAAACGTGCCGTGTTATTTGAAACCATGGACAGTGCTACTTCACTCTCGTTATCAATACCCATCGTCGATTTAAGCTTCTTGACGTCTTCTTCAAAAGTGCGATACTGCTCTAATTCTTCCTGTATAGCTTCAGCTACTCTAGGAAATGGACTACCTTTGTGTTGACACCAAAATCTGTCTTTATTATCTAGTTCATAAGCCCTAGTCTTCGAACGTGTTCCCCCTGCAGGAGATCGTCCCACATTCTCTTCCACGACAAGTCTATTCAATGCCATTTCCAATACATCGTGCGCCAACGCTTGGTAGGTCCATGTATGATGCAGTGGTGTGGCCATGTCTACATTACGATCTAATAGGATTAAAAGTGGTCTTTGGAAACTGTAATGACCACTTGCTTCGCTTTCAAACAAATTATTTCTTGTGTCCCAAACATTTTCCCTGAGTTTTTTCTCAATCATTTTCCCAACCATCTCAGCAGCATTTCCTTTTGGGCACCTTATAATTGGGACAGTGCCCAATGTGACGAACACAGAGAAGAGGCAATCAACTATGATTTCCATAACAGATTCCATCTCCGTATCTTTTACCTCACCACGATTAATTGCATGGTAGGATATAATATCACTGTTTTGATGTCTGAGAATGAACAGATCATCTTCTAACGATATAAAGTTTAAATATTGATCAAATACTTTATGAATATTCGACACCACTCCACTGAGCAATGCTGCAGCTGCCAGGTCTTCCATTTTCTGTCTGGTTATCGGCGATATAAAGTTTAAATGATAGATATCGTATAATCCACTTTGTAAATCTTGGCCGATCCTGCCCAGATTCTCATCTGTCGGTGCACAAAAATAAATAGCTGGCACCTCAGGGATAGAATCTCTGTCAGAATGCAGCTGCATATGGAGCGTAACACCAAGTTCTCTGAGTTCTTTCACTGATATCAACGGCGAAATAATATCTTGGCCGAGTCTATCGTAAATTAAAACTTTCCACACTGGTACCGCTTCTTCTAACTTCTGTTCCGGTTGATTCAAATTTAACATCTGTTTCAAGGCGTTTATCTGCCTGTCACGTAGGCTCATCATGGTTAATTCTCTTTGAGATCCTTACTTTTAAAACTCTTCCACGTTTTAACAAGTACTGTTAGGCTTACGGATATAAGGGAGTTGTCGAGAGACTACGCAGTATTCTTCCAAAATTGCATTTAAGAAAATAAAATGATTAAAACATCATACTGCAAGCAAATGTGTCAACATTTGACTTTTGACTCTGAATTGTCAAAAAATATCCACGCAGCATGTTAGAAACTATAAGAGGACTTGAATGCTCGGCAATGTAGGCCACATCAATAATTCTCTAACATATAATGCAAACTCTCTAGATTGTTGTCGACTTGTAATTAAAATTTTAAGTTCTACAACTCTTACAATTTAACGAAATAAAAATGCTTTTACGCTGTAATTTTCAGTGGGAATAAGAACTACGAGTTTTGTAAAAATTACGCAGAATGCAATCATCGTGTGTGTTGAAAAGTTTTTTATTTGGTAACAGTGACCGGCGACAAAATGGCGATTTCATTTTGTTGGGAAAGTAAAATCAAAGAGATGTTCAATGTTAACATTAACGTATCGCGTGTGACATGTAAATAATAATCGAGATTCCGTTTATGTAATACTGAAGAAACTATTTTGGCCTTCGAAGGACAATATATATTGCATATTCGATGCGTTTTCGGTGATACGTTTCTGACAGCATGTCCGCAATGGCCGATGACTCTACTTCCCTGCCAAAAAGGCGTCAATTGGTAAACAAATGAATTGTTGCTTTTTAGAAAAGAGTCGTATTCGTAAACAATTTTGTTATAGCGAGAGAGGACTCGAAAGCTGTACACAGATGACTGGACTCTCGGCGATGAAGAGATCGAGGGTCGTAGGACTTTTCAGCTGGATGAAAAGATCGAATGTGAAAGATACAACCTCAACAATTTTTCGGGATTGTTCCGTGAAATGAATGGTTCCGAACTAAACTTGGCATATCTTCAAAAGCACGGTCTCAGCATACCGCTGCTCTTCAGGGACAAGACTGGATTAGGACTGAGAGTTCCTAGTTCTAACTTTTCTGTCAACGATGTCAGAACTTGCGTTGGTAAGTTTGACACAGAATCTGACGATTCAATTGTTTTCATTTCACGTATACTTAGAAAATATTTGTTATTGAGGTTCAAAGAGGATATTGGATGTCATGGATGTTAATACACAGAAGAATGAAGATATGACGATGAAAGAATGGCAAAAGTATTATGAAGATCCCAATAAAGAACGACTGCTAAACGTAATTTCATTAGAATTTAGTCACACGAAGTTAGAGAACTATGTCCAGTCACCTGAATTAGTAAGGCAGGTCGATTGGGTAGATGTCGTGTGGCCGAGACATCTTAAAGATGCACAAGTAGAATCTACTAATTTACTAGAGGATATGATGTATCCGAAAGTACAGAAATATTGTTTGATGTCTGTAAAGGGTTGTTACACTGACTTTCACGTTGACTTTGGTGGTACCAGCGTTTGGTATCATATTTTAAGAGGTGGTAAAATATTTTGGCTCATCCCTCCTACAGAGAAGAACTTGTCTCTCTATCAGGAGTGGGTATTAAGTGGCAAACAGTCTGACGTGTTCTTCGGAGATATGGTAGACAGATGCGGTAGGATAAGTTTAACAGCTGGCATGACATTGTTTATACCGACCGGCTGGATTCATGCTGTGTTTACTCCTCAAGATTCTTTAGTATTCGGTGGAAATTTTTTACATAGTTTCGGTATTGAAAAGCAATTGAAAGTTGCACAAGTAGAAGAGCATACGAAAGTTCCGCAGAAATTCAGATACCCATTTTTCACTGAGATGTTATGGTACGGGAATAAAATTCTTTCGAATAATCTCGAAGACTTAGTTATATTAAATGTATGTCGTTCGTATTACAGGTACGTATTGGAGAGGTATGTTCATGTTCTCCTAGGTAGAAGCCACTTGGACATTTCCGAATTACAACGTCAACATTTGGTACCGCAACATCACCAACATGTGCATCTAACGCCGTTTGAGTTACATGGTTTGAAAGCAATAGTTATGTACCTACACGCGTTACCTTCGACTAAGAAGAATGTGCCCGAACTAATTCGCGATCCGGTTGCTTTAATTCACGATGTTCGGTGTCTAGTAGAACAACATAGGCACGATAATCCGGAAGCAGCTGTAACAGGAAATCCTGTTCTACCACCTCCGCCTCCCTTGTCAATTGCCGATAGGGTAACTAAAACTTTTCATTATTAACGTTGAACTTTTACTTAACGTTTTCTCACACTTTATTGCATATAACAGGAGCGTCTGAGGATAACTAAGAAAAACTTTACAAAAATACAGAGGCATCACTCGCAAGAGAAAAGCTCCGAGAGGGCTTTCCCCCGACGAAGACGTACTAGGTGTAAAAAATGTGAAGCATGCACAAGGACTGACTGTGGGGAGTGCGTATACTGTCAAGATATGGTGAAATTCGGTGGTTCTGGTCGTGCCAAACAGACGTGCTTAATGAGACAGTGTTTGAGGCCTATGCTCCCGGTAACCGCTGCCTGCAAAGTCTGCCAGTTAGACGGATGGGGACAAGCGCCTGCGCCATTAATGGGTATTTATCTCTCCGTTGGAAATGTAACTCAACGCCCAGGTAATAAGTGGAGGTATTACAATTTCGAATTCTTACCACAGGAAAGCCAATACCTACAGCTTCGTCGAGTTTGGTAGAGTGCTCGATATGTTACGACATTGCGCATCCCGAATGCGTAGGAGTAGATGTTCAAAACATAACCGTTAGTGACGATTTACCGAACAGTTGGGAATGTCCCGAGTGTTGCGAAAGCGGTCGAAATTTAGATTGTAGGCCACGTCAACCTAAAGCTCGTGCACGAAAGCTTTCGGTGTCTAGCGCGGCTTCCTCGGCACCAACTACAGATTCCGAAAGAGCAACCACCCCAAGTAAACGTTCAAGACCCGATCCCAGTGATGTAAGTCCCTAAATGGAATCTGATATGGACTAAGAATGGGAAATATTCATAGTTTGTATAAAAAAATTCCAGGCATGGAATGACAGAGAACCGGCCGAGGGTGAACAGCGAACAGCTTTGCGCACGCAACTGGCTGTACAATTAACTGGTTCAAGTAGTAAATCGTTGAAGAGACCACATGTGGTGGTTAGGCCTCTTCCACTTCCACCTGTTCCAAGACCAGGACCCGATTTTAATGGACAATCTTTAGCATATGACAAGACAGCGTTACTCGCTATTTTTAGATTTTTAAACGCGAAGGACCTGGCGAACTGTGCCTTGGTTTGTCGTACATGGGCTAGATACAGCATAGATCCTAGTTTGTGGAGAAAACTGGACATGTCTCATTCCCACCTAACAGCTTTACATTTGACCGGTATCATACGTCGCCAACCGGAAAATCTGTCCCTGGACTGGACGAACGTGACCAAAAGACAATTAGCCTGGCTGTTAAGTAGACTCCCGCAGCTAAGAACGTTATCTCTACAAGGTTGCACGTGGGCCGGAGTTTGTGCTCTGAGAACCTGCACTTGCCCGCCACTTGTCACCTTAGACTTAAGTCATGTATCCGGACTGAACGATTCAAGTTTGAGAGAAGTTCTCAGCCCACCTACAGATTCGAGACCTGGTCTGATCGACAAGACTTCCAGATTGAAACACCTTAAAAATTTATCTTTGGCTGGATGTGATATAACCGACATAGCTTTGAGATATATAGTTCAACATTTACCTTGTATCGAAACGCTAGATTTATCTTCTTGCGGTAGAGTCACCGACGCTGGTGTGGCTCAATTGGCGACTCCACCGGCGCAAGCGGTAGCTAACCTATCATCATTGAATTTGGCAAACTGTAGATTACTCACGGAAACAACATTAGACCATTTGGCAAGATGCAAAATGCTTAAGCGTTTGGATCTCAGACATACGACTCAAGTCTCGACTCAGTCCGTAATTAAATTCGCTGCGAGAAGTATTCATAATTTGCACGTGACCGACGTTAAGTTGGTAGAGGAGAAGAAGTTCAGTGTGGAAGTTACAGCTACATGAAAATGCCTGGCTATTATGAAGATTTTCGGCAAGTGCAATTCGGTTACCGTATCAAGCCATAAACTACGATGAACGATTAACATCATCACGGATTTCAGTTAATAATTATTTATTATCGTAAAAAAGAATCCATCTGCACTATAACGCATCTTCATAATCTAAGAATGGACCTGATTAGTATAGTATTTCTATTCGATATTGTTTAGTTAACCGATTACACTGTGCGAAAATTGATTTTGGACCGATTAAGGACTGTATTATTGCTTGATTTTAGTTATTACGATATAGATGCTGTCTTCCTTTATGTTTAGACAAGTCCACGCAGCAGAAATGTTTAAATGAATACAGGATATTAAATAAGTAATGCAGATTCTAAACAAATATCTTTAAACGATTAAGGTAAAAAACTGCACTAATTCAATTTAAAGTGTGTCGAGGTATAGTCATTCTTAGCATTCCTAATACTAAAATGATGACGTAAGAAAGCAACCTTTGCGCTAATTGTGCAACCGACGAAATCATTACTCGCTTAATATTCAGTATTCTATTGAATCGACATAAAATACTTTCATTAAAGTTAAAAGTTCTTACTGTATTGCCGTGAAATCGTGCATGCAGTATTTCTTTTCTATTCCTATATAAAAAAACACGAATGCGGGTAAAATAGATAATACATTAATGTAACGATGCTACCAATTGCCGATATATTAAGAGAAAAGGAAGAAGTATATTTATTTGTACGCGTATAATTCCATAAAGATTAATTTACTAAAAATTTGCAGAATTAAGCTAGTTCGTTTATATGCGAACTTATCTATAAAACCGACATCATTAATTCGATTAATTCGACTACATCATTTCATGATTAATAGATAGGTAATTAACATTATGTGTATATTAAATGAATGTTTTACTTTTGACCTAAGCCATGTTATACGAATGTTTTTATGTAAGCGAATGTACATACACAATACTTGTTTCTCCCCCTTTTTTTATACGAACCAACTGTCTGCTTTATTTCGTTAATATACATATATTGTATGCATACTATATAAACCATTCGAGAGTGATAATAATAATGTCGAGCAATAAAAATGTAATTATCAACCTGCACCTTAAAGCCGATGATAGCTCACAAATGCTCACAGATTCGTTATTTGAAATGTTACATATTGTGAAACGAGATTATCGAACACGTTTTAAACCACCGTACTAAAGTTCAGCGTACTTTTGAATTTGATAAGAATTGGCAGTACCATGATTTTCACTATTCCTGTTCAACACTTCGAATTGCTTGTAATAAATAAAATTTTTTACAACACGAGCAAGTTATAGAAATACTTAATAAGAGTACGAATAATGTTCTAAAGTTCTAAAGCTGCGACACCACTGTATAGTACATCATGTAATCCACAGGAAATGATTAGTGATATTCCGATTTTCAAATATAATTTTGAATTTTCAAATTGCCGCTATCATTTATTCGCAATAATATTTTACGTACTCCTCCATGCACTGCATTTTCGAAATTTTGTGATATAGCGAAGAGGAAAGTGTTAATCAATAAATATGTCATTACGAAAGAGAAACTTTGTATACTTGTTAACAACGATTTTACGCGCGGAAATGTAATAAAAGTATGATATGCGATCGAAATGTTTGCGACGCCAATGTGTGTACATAAAAGTATATGTTAGTGTACATACGCCATGCAAGAGTTCTTTTTCAAACTAAGTTAGCTGGTAGATGTAATATTTTAGTTTGAGTAAACGTAGTTGTTTGTGTTATTGTGCGTATTAAATAAAATATCGTCGTTGAGAAATAAAGTTTGTTTATTCTCTGGAATATCTACTCGTCGATTAAGTTTCCGTTGCAACTGTTGCTGACATGTGAGTGTTGTGTCGATTTTGTTATAACCTATAAGAAACCTTCGTCTCGATTTATCATTATTTTTATTAGAAAACATTTAACAATATGATAGCAAAAAAGAAGCGATTATTAACAATCTCGTAGAAACATTCGTCACGTCTGTAAAAACTGTTACGAAGAGATGTAAAGAATTCATTTCCTACCTAAATACCTGTCGCGTTGTCTTTTGTTTCAGTCGATAGACACGTTTTGATGTTCCCTTCTTTGATCCGTTGCCGTTGTGTGTGGAAAAATATTTACCTTAGATACTAGAGAAAACAAATTAGCGCGTTTACGAATCGGTACAAAAAACTAGTAGTTCTATACTCTGCAGTTGATTGAACAAAAAATTCTGTTTTGAGTGTAAGATATTCTACAAAAGGCGTCGAGGTGAGTGTGCGTGCATTAGATCGCGTGTTCAAGTTTTCAGATATAACATTTTCTATATTTTTCATATTTAATACTTATATGTGTATGTATACAATTGTCCATAATAATTCTGAATCCGTTTTTACATTAACTTAACCTAATTCAGCTAACACAGAGTCAAGATCTTCTTGGAGAGAGAGACTCTCCTCTCGCTGCTTCACTAAATCATCTTTCAGTCTATCAACCTGTGCCTTAAGCAAATAGTTACCCTTCTTCAATGCAGCCAAACGTCCTTCATGTCTCTTAGCTTGTTTCTGTCAAATTTTAAGCGTAGAAGAAGTTAAGAAATCCTTTCATATTCTTTATATCACATATCTATCTACGTACCTGTAAACTGTCTCTTTGACCATCCAAAGATTCATCTTCATCTTCTGTTTCGGTTTCCTCTTCTTCTTCAGATTCCTCAGATTCAGATTCTTCTGATTCTGTCTCTTCTTCTTCTTCCTCTTCCTTTTCATCCTCTTCACTTTCCGACATTAATTTGGCCATCTTGTCAACTTCTTTCTGAAGATGTTTGTACTTCTTCTTTTCATCTTTTAATAATTTCTGCTGCTGTTTGATCTGTTCTTTCAGCGCATGCCTTTCTTTTCTGGCATTAGTTGCTTTATCCCTGTTAATTTAAAAACCACTCATTTTCGTTGTATGTTAACTTGCATATATTATTACTCACTTGAAATTTCTTATTTTGGTTGTTAAAAGTTTGATTTCCCTCTGCAATCTTTTCTCTGCTTTTGGACCTTCATCTTCTTCCTCTGAGCTTTCTTCTTCCTCCTCTTCCTCTTCTTCACTCTCGCTAGGTTCTCTCTTATCTACACTTTTCTGGGATGCAATTTTTGCTACATCTTTTGCACTTGGGCAACCAGCAAGTGCCATTCCTGAAACAGTCCACCAAATTGCTTCTTCCTCATCGTCTGCTAGCTCAATCACTGGCACAGGCTCAAGCTCTTGCTCTAATCATCAAAGCGTTAAGCATAAAGAAGCAAAATTAGTATAAGCAGTAAACAATTCGAAGTTTTTATTATATGCATTGTTAAAACATTGATTAAGCTCGTCACCGCGTTTTGATGTGTACAAATATTCGTACCAGCTTTCATGCGTCTCTCCAAGGTAGCATACATCCTCTTCACCTCTTCCAATTCATTCTTGTATCTGTCCCTCTCCTCTGTGGCGGAAATATATTCCTTCTCAAACTTCTCCGCGTCCTTCCTAGCATGTTCAGCCTCCTTCTTCAAAGATTCCGTTATCTTCTCGTCAAACTTTCTTTGCTCTTGCACGCTCTTCTGCGACTTCGCGCGTTCGACCTCAGCTTCCAGATTTAAAATTCTCGCCTGCGAAGAACATGAAACGTAATGAGGAAATAGATACCGGTCTTGTCGATTTGAATTCAAGATATGTACTTGTAATCTCTTATTATCTCTCTCTAAAGCTTCCTTATTTCTAAGTTCAAGAGCAAGCATTTGCTTGGTACTCTGCAAATCATCCCTTACGGCATCGATATCGTCCATTTCGTCTGAGACAGACTCATCGGTAGGTTCATCAGCTTTTTGCATTTGTTCCTCTATCGTTAGTTGCCTTCTGAACTTCCTGAGACCTTGCAGCATCGGTTTCGACCGATCGTTAGTCTGCACTTTCTTTAACGATACACCCTGTTGAATCTGCTGCAGCAATTGGTTATGCATGTTCGACTTTTCAGATTCGAACACAAAGTGTGCCTTCCCTAGTTAGAAAGAGCCAATCAGTACAAGAATCGATTCCTCGGTAGATCGGTCTTTAAATCTTTAGCAGATTCGCTGGAGGTAACATGTAAAATACATGTGCGGGAAATAAGGTGCAGGAAAACTCACTAAACACGAAGACAATAGTTAATTCAACGATAATAATATTATTCAGCCACAGACGAAGGGAGTTCCCTTGTAGGAGGTCTGAACAATTAACAACTAAGTACGTGTACTACAAACAGCTCATAGGTTCAGAAACAAAAGCTGATCCGAGCCACGAATCTCATTAACAATTTAATTAATTACACTCGTCGGACGTACGTCCCTTTGGATCGACATTTACAGGGGTGAGACGGGGTTGAAGGCGGACGTAACAAAGCGGAGGGGCTGTTCTCTACTAGCAACTAATCGGTGAAACCGGTTCCTCCTAGGAGTATCGCCCAAAGGGAATCTGAGTAGGATCGAAGTCTGATCGACGATCACCTGCTGGATCAGCTGTAACCTTGTTCACCCGCTCGATCAACGGCGCGCTCCTATCGTTGCATTTCACGTGCCTCAATCTCTTTCCGCTCTCGACTTCCTTCATCATGCTCGCCCAGTCGGGGCGTTTCCGTGGCCTTTGCTTCAACATCTCCAGTTTCTGTTGCTGGTTGACGTTCAACGGCGGAAGATCCTTCAGAATCGTTCTTCCCGGGGGCGGTGGCGGCGGTCTCGGAGGTGGCGGTGGCGGGATCGCTGCCCTCGAAGAGCTTTTCGATAATGTCGGCGCGCCTATTTATAAGAAAACTTTATTTTTATCGTGGCCAACGCAGTTTTTCCTCTCTCGTGCATTGTAAACTTGTGAGGAAATTATAATTCAGACACTCGGAGACGATTCGTGTGCAATTAAAGGTCTCGACGATCCTGGTAGATTTAACAATGTGTGTTCGTGATGTTGTATTTAAATTTTGTTTCGTTGGATTTGTTTGAATCACACAGAGGACAATGCGTGAACGAGTCAGGTCGTCTTTTTGCGATGGGGTTCATGCCGTGTTACCTGTGGTGCTCTCACTCTTGGAGAGAGGTATTGTGTCACCTCGAGATCGAGACCTCTCGATTCGAACCTGTCGTTCGAGCTGTGGCCTCGAATTTGGCTCTTGTCGTCCATTCTCGCGGAGCTTCGTCGGTGCCGGCTGACTGCTCGTATTCTTCTCGCTTTTCGGCTGCGCCGGGATTATCGTGATCTTGCTCTGTTTACGTGGCTGTGCTTCCGCCGCGGGCTTCGCTTCTACTTTCGGTACACTCTATAAATTCACGAACATCAGCCATTAATTTCATGCAAATATTCGTTTTCTTTTCTTCTTCAGCATTCTTCATTTTCCAAGACATTTTATATGTTAAATGTGATACATCTATAATCGTGTTCTTAATACCAGGCGTCAATTAACAAATTGCTTCTACGATCTCGACTCTTTGATCAATTTGTAATCACTTGCGAGAATCAGTCGATTTTCACACGTAAAAGTAACTAAGGATCGTGAGAGGTAGTTGTGTTAAAAGAGCAGATAAGACTTAAAGATATGTTCACCCCCACTCTAACATGCGTTCTATCCTAAAGAAAGAAAGACTCGAGAATTCTCTTGGCAAGGATGAACGTGTGTTCGGTTGTCTTTAAATAATCCAGTTCGTACTTCCTGCTCGCTCGACTGAAAAAACTAAAATCGATATTTTCATAGTAGTTCACTCTTCTTAAAAAAAAATAGTATTTATTTATTAGTTTATTGTTGATCTGCCGAGAAGGACCGAGTGTAAAAATTTTTACCAGTCAATGAGATATAGAATAGAAACATTCCTGGAGTAAAATTCGGGATTTCTGCGTAACTTATCGGTACATTTACGTGAAAGCGTAATATAAACTCGTTAAGAAACTGGCGGAAGACGCAGCTGGCAAGACATTTGAAATAGAAACGCGTGTTCTTTAAATAATCGTGACCCAGAGGCTTATATGCGAGGGCCCGTAAGGCTAGCTTTCTGTTTGATCCCTCATATCGGAAAAATGAAATTAATCCAATTATTTAACGCAGACAGAACAAATGTTTTATAAATTGTAATAATTTTTGTATAGTTCTTCTCTTTCATAATTTAATATCAGTTTTTAATAACGTCATCAATACTGCTAAACAATGTTGCAATCTTGTCATAAGTATTTTTGAACTTTGCCATTCGAACGCGAAACTCAGATGATTTACGGAGAACAAATAAAGCGGTATTTTCGTAGCTTTCGTTGGAAAACTTTCAACCATAAATCTGCAACGTGAAAACGGTTCGGGAATTGAATAGATCGTCGATCAAAATCGCCGATGATCTAACTGTGCGCGACAGTTGTAAACAATATCGTGACGTAGGTGTTCATGACATTAGCACGTGTTTTCGGAAAAGTTCGCCCGTCACGTTTTTCGTATTTCCCTTCGGCTCCAGAATCCGTTCCCGTTCGACAGATTCGCATGGCTCGTTGCCAAACTATCGAAAGTACGTGTTTTGGTTTCGCGTCAACGAAAAACGCAAATAAACAAAAGAAGTTGTAGGGAAATAATAGAATTTTAAATATGAAAGGAGGACGAACATAAATGCAGAGGCCGAATCCTCTGTTAGTCTTGTCATTTTATGATTTCATATTTCTAATAATAATTGCATGGTATAGCACGAATGCAACGTCCCTGTAAATTTCTATTTGTCGAAACGTTTGTAATGCGAACCTGTTATTCGAGATCCACGCGGGTTATTAATAGTACTTTGGAAACTTAATATCTGAATGGAAAAACTGCACGAGAAGGTCGCTTGCGTTTCTAGTAGAATAAGTACGTGTTGGGTCAGACAGCGCGTTACTACGACGAGTTCGCTGTATAGGATTCAAATGAGAAATAAAATTTCTTCTGTTCATCAATTAACATTTTCATCAAACAAATATTTTTTATAACATTTCACGTACAAATAAATATTTTAATGGAATTTATAAAACTTACTTTGAGAGTAACTTTTGTAAACGCAGGAGCGTCCTCGACTTGGGGTTTCGAGTCTCTCCTGGAGTTGAGAGTCCAGGGTGCACTGGGCATTGGTAAAGGTGTAGGACCATCTTTGACCCAAGGCGGCCTAAAGGTGGTCCTCTGCGGTGGTTGACCACCGGCGCCGGGCATTCTTTATCACAGGCTTCCTCTTCTCTATCAGCTTCCCTTTCGACTTCCACCTGTCAATCACGGGGTGTCAGATGTTCGCTCTCGAGGTGTCTCGAGAGCAAGTTGTATCTTCTCGAAGACGCGTACGATGCACCACTGACGGACTCCTGGACGACGGGACGAACTTCGGTGGGGATCGGTTTTCCGTGGGAGAACCACGACCTACTTTTCTCGAAACGTTTCGCACAAATCTCGGATTCTCGCGGTTCACTGATACACGTTAGGTTCCCGAAAGGAACGCTCAGGGTACGAATCGTTGTTGAGTTCCCTTCTTGTCGAGCGATCTCGATTATCGATGGTAATTATCGAACAGCGAAGTGGTTGAGAATTTTTGGGAGTCTGGGAAAGATTGAGACCTGGACCACACATCAGGGCCACGACTGCACCTCCCTAACCGCGCGATATTTTCGTCGACCTGACGTCACGGAGAGTCGCAAGCTCGAAATAGAAGACAGTCCTCTTCTTCTAGGATGCTCGCGGTGACTCTCTCGGAGACACTTCTCTTGATCCTAACGCATGTTTACGATGCACCCGTGCACTCGGCGTTTTTCAATTTCTTTGACCTAGTAACACTTTGGGTGCCGTTAGTAATGCAAACGTGAAACAGACTGACATTAATAAAATAAACATTGTATCATAATGGACAAAGCAATGTTTTCGCAATTATGAAAATCTATCCTCATCCTAGATATCATTAACAAGGCTTGTGTTTAAAGGGTCGGACGATATCGAGAGAAAGACTATCAGCGAGCAGCGCAGAGACACAACGAAGAGTTCCTCAAGTACGATTATTATCAGCAGATCGCGACGTACTTCGAGCGGGAATGTCGAATCGCCAAACACTACGATTCATGGAATTATAGAAATCTCGATCCGAAGGGCGAACTCGCGAAGGCTAAGAAAGCGGAGAAACTTCAAATTAGAAGAAGCAAATTGCGAAAACTATTAAAAGAAGAGGATGAAACTTATAGAAGGGAGTTAGAGGAACGCAAGAAAGTGAAAATCCGTCCGGAGGAGTCGTCGTTGGAGCTGCTGAAGCAAAGATTAAGAGAAAAACGCGCGGAGCAGAGTCTCTATCTGCCCAGGACTTGTCGGAGATATCAATCTTATTTCGTCTGTCCCAAAGAACCGAATAACCCGTGTTGGAATACTACCAGAGACACCGACCCTCAACTTTCCCGCGTCTGCAGAGATTCGACGAATTTCATTCATCGAAACGGCTTAAATTCTTATCGTAGAAGTTCCACAATGAGCGAGACCACGAACAAGAGTTTCCGCGAACAGGAAAAAACAGACTCGTCTCAAGACGTTTCATCCCCGAATTCTAGCGAAGGTGTGAGGCCGAATTCGAGGTATTCAACTCGTTATGCTCATAAGAGTTTGGAGAACACCAACGTAAGAGGCGACGATCCCAGTGATCATCCACCAAACGAAGCCTCGAGCAGATCTAGTCTCGGTTTACCCAGTGATAAAAGCTTAACGAACGGAGATGTCCGTAGCGATGATAAAGAAAACAGAACGGAAGATGCAGTGACCCCCGGTTCGGATCAAACAGATTCGAAGAAGTCGTCGGCGGAACGTTCGATCGAAAGCGAGACCTCGCGAAAATCTGAGGCCATCAAGAGAAAGGACACCCGACAGTTCGAAGTCGAGAAAAGTTTGCCCTGGCTGCGAATGGACCCTGGGGATAAGAATCTCTCGAAGCAGATGTTTTTGTACTTGACTCACAAGGAATTGAAGTGCAAGATCGAGGACCTCGCGAAGAGAGAAACGCACGCGTGCAATAAGCAGTGTTGGGACGAGGCCTTGCGGCTCAGGGACATGAGGAATAAATTGGAACTGAATCGTGAGAAGAAATTGTACAGCATGGACACTCTGGACATTGACGAGGAATCCAGGGAGTTGGTACTAGTCAACATTGGTAAGAGAGAAGCGGAGCTTAACGAGCGGGAGAAAGTCTGTATGGATTCGACGATGTACAGGTAAAGCTTAATGAATCAGTATTATTTTATTTCGAACACATTATATTACAATGAAACATGAACAGAAATATCTCGGCTACGTTATGCATAAGCAAATACATGTAAAGAGTATTGTTAGTTCCCCTCTATATTCGCTCGATGGTCAGATTGCAATACCGACACGCGACCGTGAGCGATACTAAGGGTCTAGGACAACGAATGGCACTTCTTGCTTCTCGAATTAGTCGAACTCCGTCGATGTTGCAACCGAAAACCATGAGTCATTCACGACTCTCTTGGTACACCCGTTTCGCAAATACGTGCCAACACGTTCGTCATGCTTTACGCCCTACATTCGTTCGCTTGATAGATCGTAAATAAATGCCGGTTGGAGCCCCTGAGAATGCGGAGCATGTCGACAAAAGAAGAAAGGGTTGAGTCGCCTCCGCATTCCCAGTTCACTTATTTTCAATTAAATCTATTGCATCTCTTCCCATATCGTTAGAATCATAAAAAACCTATATTATTATATATTACATATGAATTTTGTTGTTATGATGTTCTTAGTGAGGATGCAAAGGCTCTGTGGAAGAAGTGGTTGCTCGAGGATGAGAGGTCGGTGATCAAGGACGCGCGGCAGCAGAGGGAAAAGTTGATGAACAGCTTGGAGAAGGAATGGCAGAATCTCGCGATTCGTGAAAAAGAAAGAATTTCACGTTCCTATCAGAGTGTGATGAACGACTCGGCGCTGCAAGAAGAGCACAAATTATCCGCCGCGATTAACGCGTCCAGGATGAAGTCCGTCTCAAGTTCCTTGAAATATTAGACTTGGCCCCCACCAAGTCTAACATTCGTTTGCATTTCAATATTTCTATTAGAGACATTATCCGATAGCACGTGCTATTGAATGTCATATAAATTCGCGGTGCTTTTTAATCTTAACAAAGTATAACAAAGAAGATTTATAATCTAAATCAAAGACAAGATAGTCTGTTAAATAATATATTAAAGACTGATATCGTATTTGATAATGATATAAAAAAAAGCGATTATACGAGATCCGTTCTATTTATATAAAATTTGATTATTGATTTGTATAACTGAACGTTTTACAAGCATTTACGCTTGTATTTGTGGCAATTATATAAGTATTTAAAAACAATATACTTTTTATTTATTTACTTCAGTTAATACCAACTTCATTCATTAATGTCTGCAATATATTTCTTTTACTTGCGACGATATTACACATTAACATTACTGTATGTTCTAGTATTGATTTGGAAATAAATTAATCACGTTAAACATTGACGTTTATACAGTTCGTATTACTACCGAGAAGACATTATTAAAGAGCGGCATACTTATGGCGCAATTTTTTGCGCCCTTTAGAATATATTGCTACTGAAATAAGAAATAGAAAGCAAAACACTCATCAGTGCAGAACAGTTGCCAGATTCAAGAAAGGTCCTATACTGACGATGAACGAATTAATTAATTGATTATTCCTGAAGTATTCGAAATAGAAGAAAAATTCATAGAATCTTTCTTGTACAGAACGTCAGTGCCTACAACTTCTGTATAATAATTTTTTCGCTAACTTTAATAATACATTAATAAATAAAATTATTTATTGCAAAAACTTTTTCGCAAAGTATAAAGTCGGTATACAAAATTGCCGCGGAGATTCAGTGCCGATAAAGGCTGAATTTATTTTTCGTAGTGACCGCCAGATGGCAGGATGATGTCAGTCAGTCATTCGGTGGAACCTGCGTCCAGTATTCGCGTCGTAAAATCGCATTTGTTAATAATTATTCGCATCGTTGTAACGTGAATTAGTGATAGTTAGTGTACGAAACATCGCGGACATCGGACAGAAGGTTATTCACTCTGGAGGCTTCTTCCTTGTTCATTTTATCCAGTTCGGCGTTCTCCAAAGGGTGAGTTTGAAACTACGCTTTAAACTACGACACAGACTACGCTTTAAGAAGATTACGCGTAATTATCATTGCACGCCATAATTAAGATGATTCTCCGAATATTATTGGGTTTATGTATGTATATATGACACAATGTAAAGTTCTCGACGAAACGTGATCTGAATTAACATGTATAATAGTTAGGAACATAGAAATCGCGTTCCCTTCGAAAGACGCGTACAATGTACGTCATCTCGTGTTCGGCTATCAGTTAAATTCTGCGAATTTGTAGAATCCGGTTTTCCCATTAACGTGTGGAAGCGCGTTTAGTCACGAGTCGTGGCAAAACAAATCGAGGGTAGCCGCTCGTTATTGTTCTTATTCGGAACCGTTAATTAAGAGGCTGACGCTTCCTCGTCTGGAGGAAGGCGCGAAAGAATTTCCGTGGAATTCGCGGTAGCGTAGACTAGGTGGTCGCCATTAATTCTCAGGCATGGTTAGCGACAACGACCAAATTAGTCGACCAATTCGTCAAACGGAGCGTTTCCCTGGTAGGCGTGCGTACGTATCCGCCGCGTGGTATTTCGCGTGTAGACACGCTTGCGCACTCATCCCCATGCGCTATGGAAAATGCATTCGCATATGCGACCTGAGCCGTTAAAACCTTTGGTTGTAATTAGAGAAGTAAATCAAATTTCTACTTCAAGTTATTTTAAAAGTGAATATTTATTACTTTAAGAATACAATTTGTACATGTTAACTGCTAGCTGTTTTTAAGGACGATTGCACGTGTCGAGGTCAACACGTAAGGAATGCGTAGCGTAGTTTTAGAAACATTAGGATTGTCAAATGACGGATACATTGTAAGTAGAACCAAGGAGTGTGGAAGGAAATGAGACCTGGTAAGAGGACTGTGAAGAACATCGCTTACCCTAGACGCTCCGAGGAGTACGAATCGATCTAAATATTTAACATGTATTATCATTCCAATTGATAAAACTTCAAATACTGTGGCGTACTATTCTAATGAATTTACACTACGATAGGAATTCAAAGTAAAAAGATGCATTCTTCGAAAGGTAGATATCTCTCTGAACGAAACATACAAATTCACATTATTTACACGCGTGTACGTTAACGACGGGGTCATACGTCTGAAATTTTCGAGTTAACATTTAAATCACACCCACGCTGTACATCCGGGCCGGGTCCAAGAATAAAGAGAAAGAGAAAGGGCGAAGGGCAGAGAAAGAAATGTAGTTTGTAATGCGTGTATCGCTTGTGCAATGGCCCGTGAAAGCTGACTGTCTGCTCGGCACCCAGGAGAAGAGGGATGCAGCCACGCCAGCTATGTTAATTAAACGCGTTTCTAGCCCCCGCATAGGAAATCAGAGAAAAAAGGAGATGAGGCGAGCGGTGCTCGAGGAGATGGGGCAACGTGAAAGAGGGTGCCGGCTAATAACACGTCCCGTACGACGAACGCACGCCACACGCCCGTCTTCTTCTTCTTCTTCTTCTTCTTTTCTTATTCTTCCCATTATTCTTTTTTGCCGCCGTATCTCACTTGTCCGAATGTCGTAACTGTCATATACCTAATTTTGTCAATATTTTATAAGAAAAACTCAGGAATATCGTATAAAGAAAGGTGCGAGAATCTTATAATTTTCAGAGAAAAGTCAATAGCCATATTAACACAGATTTCACTTAATCCGTATTAAGACGTTCCCTACTTGGTCACTTACTGAGAAATATTCATCGATTTTTCTAAAACAATTCGGTCGTTACAACTCACAGAGATTAGTATGATTACACGGAAATTGTTCCGGGTTGACGCGTACAAAAACTAGGAAAGAAGTGGGAATACTTTAAAAGGCCGGCTAAAGTTACACCGGCGTCAAATTAGTTCAATAACGGAGGGGTTTCACGGAAACGCAGCCACGGACCACGTGGCACCCCATAAAGGGAACCGAGGAAGACGGCATATGTCTGACAACCGCTTAATCATTGGGGAAAATTTTCTGTCGTCGACAGATTAGCTTCTCGCGCACCGGCTCGACCTCCGACACTTCCATTCACCATACCCCTGTTTCATCACTTGCCAAAACGTTTTTGATCAAACGAACATGTTTTTGATGAATCCACTCTAGTAATGTCGTACTGAACATGAACATGTAAAAAATGAAAATGCTGTTTTATACATTTGCAAGGCACATGCAATAGGATTCCGAACTTTCCTTACTGTTATTTTATTATCTATTATTTATTATATTTGTCGAAAAGCTTTTGACGAAGAGTGGTACTACGATAACCGTTCATTTGCGATTTGTGATTTTCTTTGTCCTTTTAAGAGTTCCGCTAACTTTAATGGTTCCTAGAAGCAACGGTCGACTGGGAATTAAGTATCGATTCGCGTTGGGAAAGATCGTGAGAAAAACAGGAATTAAGAGGCAAATTATGGTATAATCGTCCGGGATTCGGTCGCAATTTCGGACACTTTAAACTCAATTTGCACGCGTGGCTCCGTGGAAGTCGCGTACGAGTGTAACGAAACGTGTATAAAGTTGTTCGAGCACGCACGTCGATGATGCGTTCATCAGTATTTTTGTTTTTCTTCCTTCTTTCTTTCTCTCTCTCGGGTAATACGCGCGCCGCCTGAAAATTGATTCGATTATTTGCGACGAAATGAAGTGAACACCGGCCTGTATTATGTAAATTTTTGTTCATTCGCTATTTCTGCACGGGGAGTTCATTATACGCTCCGTAGAACTTGCCGAATGGTAAATCGCGATTATTGGCCGCAGTATTAAATAAGCGTTAGATAAAATAATATATTATGATCGGTTGTTTACGCGATTCCTAGTGCTCGACGGGTTTTAACTGCATTGTCTTGATAATTGAATCCGATGAAAACGGTGTGCAATAATGCCGATGATTCGCCCATAAATCCGAGTTCCGTTCATTCATTTGTGACGCGTGAGCGCTTTCTTTTAGCGTAACGAGACAGTTTTGTACAGAATTTGACGAATAAAACAACATAATCACGATTACTCGTTCAAGTATCAAACATGGTGTTAAGGATGTAAAGGCTATACATTTAAACAATGCTAGCATGTTGAATTTGTTATTATAGATTCCCATTACTATTAAAAAGC